TCAGGTTGAGAACCACTGCGCTAGAGGTTCCCTATGATTCTAATTCAGGATTCTCCCAAAAAGTCTGGCTGTCTTGTCACCCTTAGCAACACAGCAAAGCAAGTATGTCCACAAGTATGTGTTCAGTGCCTAGTACAGGCTATAGCATTGCATAAAACAGCCTACCCTCCCAACCCCCCACCCCCGCCGCAAAAAAATCCCTGCCCTCAGGAAGCTTACATTTTAGGGGACATTGAAGAAAAGAAAAATATATAGGATATTGGATGACGGATGATCAGTGGTGAAGAGTGGGCCAGTGGAGGTCTGGACAATGAGGGCCCCAGGCAGAGGGGAAAGCAAGTGCAAAAGTTCTGAGGCAGGACTGTGCCTGGCACAATTGAAAACAGCAAGTGCAGTGAGGGGGTGAGTGAGGGGATGACCTCCAGATCCTGCAGGACCTTGTTGCCATGGCGAGGACTTTGCCTTTTACCGTGGGTGAGGTGGGAGCCAGGACTTGGGAGACGATGGTGTCCTGCACAGAGGAAGGACAGGATCTGATTTCCCTTTAACAGGACCCGACTGGCTGCAAGTGGAGAACAGACTGTCAGAGCGGCAGGAGGAGAAGCAGAGACCCCAGTGAGGAGGCAACTGTAATGGTCCAGAGAAAGATGATGGCCGCTTGGGCCGGGAGGATGCAGTGGAGGAGACAGGAGGTGGTCAGCGTCCAGTTACAGGTGGCAGGTGGAGCCGGTCAAATTTTTCTTACTGCAGAGTGGAGGCAGCTAGGCTCTACTCGTGTTTTGGGATCGAGAAAGTTGGAGAGCCGGTTAGCGAGTGGAGACGTGGTTGTCGAAAGGACTTCCTTCTTACCACCTCCTGGGGCTTGTGTCATGCGGCATTGAAAGGAGCGGTTCGGGTCTTTGCGGGCTAAGAGGGAAATCACCCAGGACACATGGGCAAGCAAAGAAAGGAAGAGGCAGCGTGGAGGGGAAATGGTCTCGCTCTCGGAAACCATGAATAGGAGTGAGTGAATGGTCTGGACAGTGGTCGGCAAACGGCGGCCCCTTGAGTGTGGCTCTTCCACAAAATACCACGTGCAGGTGCACACATACAGTGCGATTGAAACTTCGTGGCCACACTCAAGGGGCCAAAGAGCCGCATGTGGCTCACAAGCCGCAGTTTGCCAACCACTGGTCTGGGAGAACAGGCACATCTGGCCCTTAATCACCTGAGTGAAGATTTAAACACGGGATTGCCCTTCCTGCCACGCCAAATAAAATTATAATAAACTTTCTTTTTAGTTATTTTTAAAGTTGCTGTGGTCCAGCTGGCATGGCTCAGCATCGAACTATGAATCAGGAGGTCACGGTTCGATTCCCGATCAGGGCACATGCCCGGGTTGCAGGCTTGATCCCCAGTACGGAGTGTGCAGGAGGCAGCCAATCAGTGATTACCTCTCATCATTGATGTTTCCACACCTCCCTCCCTCTCTCCCTCCCTCTCTCTCTCTCTCTCTCTTCCTTCCTCTCTGGAATTAATACAAATATATTTTAAAAAATAAAATGAAATAACATTGCTGTGGCTTCCCTCTGCCATCGCAACACACTTCTCTTAGCCAGTGTCCCTACCTGGGCCTCGTCCCTGGCCTGGACTGCAGGGAGGCAGAACTTGGAAAGGAGAAATATTTTCCTCTCGTGCTTGCTGACTCGGGAGAGCTGGAAAGGGCCCACCTGGCTCCTAAAGTTTCTAAAAATAGAAAGTTGTCTTAACTTTCCTATAGTTCTGGCTTAGCCCTTCCTTCTACTTGTGCCAAAACGCCGTTTGTGTTAGAGAATCGGTCGCTCTGCGTGACAATACAGGCTGGCAGGGCAAGACCCGCAGCGGGAAGGAATGAGCGGCCCAGTGCCACTGAGGGGCCGCCAGAGAGGCTGCCAGTGGGGACGACACCTCCTACCCCACCAACCCCTGCACGCATCCCAGCCCCTGCACCCATCCCAGCCCCTGCACCCATCCCAGCCCCTGCACCCATCCCAGCCCCAGCATCCATCCCAGCCCCTGCACCCATTCCAGCCCCTGCATCCATTCCAGCCCCTGCTTCCACTCCAGCCCCTGCTTCCACTCCAGCCCCTGCTTCTACTCCAGCCCCTGCTTCCATCCCAGAGATCAGGACAGGGAGAGCAGTTTGGCTGTTGGTTCGTTTAGCTGAGAAGAGGAAGTTGAGGGAAGGTTTCCAAGGCCCATGGCCTGGAGTTTTAATCCTTCTGGGTGAGGGCTGAGGACAGTCCACCACAGGGCTTCTGAGATGCTGTGGGCCAGTGGTGGGCGGGTGAAGGGTTAACCACTCCCTCCCAGGAGAAAGTGTGTCTGTGTGTGTCTGTGTGTGTGTGCACATGTGTGTACATACAAATACTATATATGCATATACACACGCACGCACACATACACATAGATACATATACTTAGGGTTATTATACATTGTATTGACATAAAGAATGTGTAGCACACGATTTACAAATAAAAACAAAATTTACAATACCACTTTTTGTAAATTTCATATCACCCATTGTTTCATACAGAACATTTTCATTGATTTTTTTCCCCCCTCTATTCTTGCATCTGTAGTCAACCTATGGTTACAATGGATGAACGACCATAGTTCTTCAGGAATGGTGATTGATATTTAATTTTACCTTAAGGAGTAAGACCACCATGATACAACAGAGAGCAGTCGAGCTTAACCCCTTTGTCAATGAAATGAGCAACTTGCTCGATGTTTGGTGCTATTCACAGTGTAACAGCTAGAGAGAGAACGGGCTTTGATGTTTAACCTGCATGGTTAACTTTTCCTCCCTCACTTTCTCAAATCTAGACAGTGAATAAGACAATAAATCAAACCCTGCGTCATACTCATTTGCCAATTCCCAAAATGTAAATACTCCCAATAGGATCAGTATCAGGCTACCAACCTGACATCGCTAACAATGAAGCTGGGAAGAGACGCACCGCAGCACACCGTGACAGTATCCCCACCAGACAGCCCCCTCGATGAAAATAGCCTCGGAGCACAGTAACATCATAGGTGCCAAGGTCCGTGTTTGCCCGGGACCGAGGGGGCTTCGGGACTAGCCAATCACCCTGGAGCTGGGACCACCACTCGGCTCTGGGCTTGAGCCTAAGGCCGAGCCAGTTCCTGGAAGGACAGGAGGTCTGAGTCAGTGCAGAGCTGCGCTGGGATGGAATTTTCCAGGGAAGAGAAAACAGGAGGCCACATCTGGGTGCCAGGACCTCCGACTCTGCCCAGATGCCTGCCACCCAAGGGATTTCCCACCTGCCCTGGCCCTGCTTCGCATTTCTTATCTCTTGGCTGCTGCCGGCCACAGCTGCGGGGCGCATATGCAAATCACCTGTGATGATATTAATGTGGGGGGGGGAGGCATGTGGAAAGCACTGTTTGTGTTTCACAATTCCGTTTCTACAGAGGAGCAGAGGGGGCCCAGAGTGATTTGAAACACATTTTTGAAAAGGCAAAATAAAATTGGAACAAAACCTAGTAGAGACATATGCCACTCTTTCCACACCCAGCTCTCCCGCCCCTGCCTAAGATTAACCCTCTTCTCTCACGCCTAGGAGTCTCCTACAACAGAGCAGCAAACGCAGCAAGTGATTCGCACCAGGAGCCCTGCCCACCCCCTCCCAGGACAGGGTGCCCCTTCCCTGGGCTGCCATACACCCAGGGAGCTAAAGGCTGCTCAGCCAGTTGCTTCTTCCTCTGTCCACGTCTCTGCCTCCCTCCGCCAGACAATGCTCCCTCCTCCCTTCCTGGGTGATAATCACAGACTCAGAAGGCAGAATACTGGCGGTGGGAGCGTTAGTGAAAGTCAGGTCGGAAAAACCGAGATCTGGTTCTCATCTCGGCCAGGGACCAGCTGTGTGTCCTTGGGCGAGTTACTTCACCTCTCTGAGCCTCTGTCTGCTCAGTGTACAACGAAGAGAATAGTAATAATAATACCTACTCTCTGGGGGATCGTGGGACTTCCCCGGGCTAACGTTTCAAAACGCCTAGCACGGTGCTTGGTACACAAGCAGACACACAAGAAACAGCAGTCACAGCAATACCCCCCCCCCCGCCTTAAAGATCGCCTCGTCACTGCTCCATTTTAGAGATGGGCAAACGGAGGCCCAGAGAGGGAGAAGAACTTGCCCAGAGCCACACAGCAAGATACTGCAACGCCCTCTTAGCTTCAACAGAGCTCCAGGTCGGAAAGTGAGGACCCGCTGCCCTCCTCACGCCTCCCCCAGGGTCCGGTCCCCATGTGGCTGCACTCACCAGCAGCGGGTCCGGACCTTCAGGAGCCTGTCACCATCCTCCTGGGAGCAGCCTGGTTGGTCGCTGTAGCAGTGGGTTCCCATTCAGGGCAGGACCCCACCCGGGACTCGCGCCGCCTCGCAGGAGCCCGCTGTCCCCGTGGTCTTTGCGACTGTGCGCTGCCGGCCCTGATAGCGCAGCCGGCTCTTATCTGGCCTGTGTCAGGGTGCAGGCAGCTGTGGAGCCGGGGTTCCAGGAAGCCTGCCTGGGGCGCCCCCAGCGGCCCGTGCCCCCGGATGCTGCCTGCTGCTCTGGACGCCGCCGATTTGCCCGTCAGTGTCACTCGGAGCTCTGCCTGGGAGGTTTCCATGTGGCCCCCGGCAGGCGGGGCCCCCACCCCTTCGCGTCCCACCCCCCCACTCCCATCTTGGCAAGGGGACTGGGAAAAGGCAGCAAGTTGCAAGTCCACACGGCGTTTGTGGTCGTGTCCTGAGCTCTCCACGATTAATCCTGGAGCATCTGACTTCTGCTGTGTCTCGGAGCAGGGTGTGGGGACGCCTAGAAGTTTCTGTTTACTCCATTCTGCGGGGCTGCGTGCTAATCACAAACAGACAGGGACGCAGCCTCCCCCCACCCCCTCCTTCCTCTCCTTACCTTGCTGCTTTCTCCTCGTGCTTTCTCCTTTCCCTCCTTTCTTCCCTCTTTGCCATCTGTCCCCTCCTCAGACCGGGATCTGATCCTCCACACACCCCTTCCTCCGGTCCTGGTTTCCCCCAAACCCCATCGTCCCCTCTGCACCTCCCCCTTCTCCTAGGATGCGAATTGGCTTGGCTTTTTCCCTTTACATCTTTATAGTTAGTAGTCAGCTTCTTTTATTACCTTTTCCCCCTTTTTTTACAACCTAATTATTTCAGGGTTTGCCCTCCCCCCCACCACCACCCCGCACACACACCCCCCCCTCTTACATCTGTGTGTGTGTAAGACTCCCAGAAACTTGGTGTCTCTGAGTTGAGGGGTGGGGTCCCGGGCTCCTCGGGTCACCTCGTGCATCTTGCTTTTGGATTCTGTTCAGGGATGCAGCCGGGAACAAAGTCCCCATTGACGGAGGCCGGCCCCGCAGTGCCTCCCAGCCTCTAAGTCTAACACCTAGAGACGCATTTCTCTCTGCCTCGCCTTGGCTCCCGTCCACCCTACAGCCCTGCAGACAAGAAACCAGGGCTCAGCAGCCCCGCAGAACAGAAACGGACACCCCTCACCCCACTCCCCCACACGCACCCTCTGAAGGGTAACTGGGCAAGAGCTTTGAAAACCGAAAGTGAGCAGGGGCGCACCCAAACGTCACTTACGTCTGTGCATGGGGAGGCACACACGGAGACGCCTGTGCATGGGGAGGCACACACGGAGAAGCTCGCTAGGAAACAATGGTTTGTCACAGGAAACCATTGGAAATAGATATCCATCCAATAAGGACTGTTAAAGAGAGCCCGGAAGCGTCATCCTGTGGTTTAAAAAGACTGAGGGGTGTCTGTCACAACAGAGATGCATCTCCAAGATGTATTACTGAGGGAAAGGGGGTCAGAATGGAACATTTTATAATCCTGATGGTGTGACCCTCCCCCTTCCTCACACACATAAAGTGAAATACTATGGAAACACATACGAAGCCAGGAAAATAGTCTGGAAGGATAAAAACCAAACTGAGTCATTGCCTCTGGGAGAGGGGGCGGCAAAAGGTTTCGGGGCGATGCTCTGACCTGCAATAGCTTCATTTTGAAAAAAAAAAACGACAATGGGTTCGTCTGTTACTCACGTCCCAACCAGCTTCCCTCTCTGGGGACACGGCGCCTCACACAAGGAGGAAACCTCACACACACACACCCCTTATTTGCCTCCTTGAACCAACTCAAAGAATCCTGCACCCTGTCAGGGGAGAATTAACAGCCGTCCTAAGGCGGGAACCCAGACATTCTGCAAACGCTCCCTCCAGCCCAGCCACCTCGGGTTAGATGTTGGGACCCCTTGGGCCAACAGTGACTTATCGGAGTGAAATTCCTTAAGAGCAGGGAGCTGTCCAGTTCCCCGCAGTGGGCCAGGCCTCCTGGCAAGGACAGCAGATCCGTACTTGAAAGGAAAGGACTGGAAAGGGGTGACTTTGTTTCAGGAAACCATGTCACCTACTCTAACGTATGAAACACGAAAACCTTTTTGAGACGCTTTAAAGGAACCCATTTGAACAAATTCAGACAAAGGGCTACTGAGGAAGCACGGCACCGACTGAGCCACGTTCCTCCCCTCGCTGGCTGCACGGAGGACCAGTCTCACAGACCGGAGGGACACGCGGACCTTGTATCCTACGCTGTGGATGGAATTCCCCAGCACGTTCTCTCGTGTTCTTCACTTGTCAGGAGGCGGCTTTGTCCGGGGAGCTGCTGTGGAGAAAAAAAATGGCACCCCCATCGCCTG